ACGTTTAACGTTGAAACAAGATGTACAGTTTTGTAGTGGGTATGTGCATGTTCTAATATAACACTGCATATATATATATATATATATATATATGTGTGTGTGTGTGTGTGTGTGTGTGCATAAAGAAACAGAGAGAGATAGAGAGATGGCAAGCGAGATAGATAGTCACTCTCTCAAAATAAGAAAATAACATAAAATTCAGCCGGAAATTTTCAAGTCTAGCCTGAATATCCTCGCAGTGATACATAATGATTTTATTTTATCATTATGATTAATACTCGATTTATATATATATATATATATATATATATATATATATATGATAGAAATTATTAAGAGGATTTAAGATAATCATAATTAAGTAATTCATCGAGTCTACAAGAAACCTCAACAGAATGCAGAAAGCACTGGACGACCGTTTCATCGTCTATTTGCGATTCATCAGCAGTTCGCTTCCACTAGAAGAATAGAAACCGTTCCGTTGCGATACGACGCAAGAGTCGTACCAACTGTGCTAACAGGAAGAGGTAGATAATTAATCATCTTTGTATCGTCGAAATCACTCGGACATGAAGAAATCTTGAACAGTTTTAACTCATTCTGTGTCCAGAAAAGAAAACACATGTACTATACAAGAAAAATTAAATAAAAAGCTTAATCGCACTGCCTTGTCAGTCGTCTTTAACGGAACACTTATATATATATATATATATATATATATATATATATATATATATATATGTATGTATGTATGTGTGTGTGTGTGTGTGTGTGTGTGTGTGTATTATATACGAAGCCACAAGGCATCGTGAACGAGGATTTGAGTGTGCCTGCCGTGTTTAAATTGTTGATCACGCTTAATAATACTTTTTTAATTTTTTTCCCCTTGGAAATTTATCTAAAGTCTGCCCAGCATAGTTGCAGTATAAACCACAGGTGGGTTCTCTGGCTGTTGAATAAACACAAATGTGCCTGATCAAACGTCTACAGTAGGGATTTGCTAGCCGCCCTCGGTATCCACAAATACGATTGAAGCAACTTAAAACAATGGAAACATACACGCACGCACGCACGCACGCACGCACGCAAACGCGCAAGCATGCACTCCATATATATATATATATATATATATATATATATATATATATATATATATAATTATAAATAATTAGACTCGTTTCGAAAAACCCTCGAAGTTTTGATTTGCTAATAATCAAATCAATCTCGAGGAAAAAAAAGGTTTTAAAAAAAGAAAGAGCTATAAACATGAACTTCTGCCGACAAAAAAATCGCACAGATGCAGGTCTGAAGCCCATAGAAAAAACCCCGACACGAGTAAACAACTAACTAACAAAAGAGCTCAATACAACCGTAGAGCAGACCTAGATACACCTAGTGAGCCAGACAAACCTACCTAGGTTTCACCTAAACGGATCGTCAGGGAAAGTAAGGATAACGAGGCAAAGAGAAACGCATATTATAGCTATTAAACTCTAAAACTGAAATCCTTAACCTATGTAGACAGAAAAAAATCTTGGCTACTAGATTAGACATTTTCCCGTTTATTGTCATTCCACCATAATGTTGTTTTTTTTTTCCTCACCATTTTTGTTTAATAAATATTTACCCCCCACCCCACTACCCCCACCCACTTAAGTTTGTGTTTGTGGTTCTTTGGTCACGTGGTATGATTTTAGCTATCGCCTATAAATATGCGTTTCTCTTTGCCTCGTTAGCCTTAATTCCCTGGCGATCCGTTTAGGTGAAACCTAGGTAGGTTTGTCTCGGTTTGAAGAATCGGAGAGCCGAGTTCGAATTTCAGTCGAATCGATTATATTCATTTACGTGTTAGGACCCTTCTCCCTCCAGCTACGGGTAAATAGCCTTGGATGGCAACTGGTCTAGGAGAAAGACAACCTTTGGTTGGAGAGCTTGTGGTACGTAGTGCACTAGGTCTCTGTATTCGGCCCTACAAAAAGTGTTTTTGGTTCTGCACAAATCCCTCATTACCATAATCAAATCCTATATGCTGCTGGTGCCTGGGCTGTCGGTTCCGAGGAATTGAGCTTCTTGACTCTCATACGTCGAATACGCTGGGAGAGTCCACCAGATATAAATAGAATAAATGCGAATATAAGTGTGTCACTGTGTCACACGTTTACAACCTTACTACTAGAGGCCGTAGCCCAAGAAATTATACCATTTTGGAATCAGGCCGACTCCGTGAGCAAAAGTAAAATCATTCCAGACCGGATCCGGAAACCTAACCCTGAAATTTTAGATTCTGAAATTTCCATTACTGAGATTATTTTCGGATTCCGCCATCTTGGCTTCTACTGATAAAATAGTTAAAAGAATACAACTCTCTAACTTTCATGAGCTCGTGTTCAAATGAAAAAAATTACTTTGCTCAAATAACAGTGTTTCAAAATAAAATTGTCCGTAATTACAACTCCATGAGCAAATTGAATTGAGAATAATCGAAATTAATGGCAAAATT